GGCGAAACAGGTGCTTGGTGTAGAGTTTCTTGAAATTTGATATTACCTGTTGGTCCATTGGGTGGAGGATAGGGGTGGTGTTTGGAGGAAGGTAGAGAACCTTCACAAAATTATACTCGTCGAGTATTTCTTCCTCGATCTGTGGTGGATGTGCAGGAGCATTGTCGAGGACGAGAAGGGCTCGCAGGGGCAGGTTGTTGTTCTTCAAATATTTCTTCACCGAAGGACCAAACACAAGGTTTACCCAGTCGATAAAGAACTGCCTGGTGACCCACGCCTTAGGGTTTGCCCTCCACATAACATGGAGTTTCTCCTTTATTATCTTGTGCGCTTTAAAGGCTCTGGGGTTCTCCGAATGGTATACGAGTAGCGGCTTTATTTTGCAGTCGCCACTCGCATTGGCACACAGAGCGAGGGTCAACCTATCCTTCATAGGTTTGTGTCCTGGCATCCTCTTCTCCTCTTCGGTGATGTATGTTCTCCTCGGCATCTTCTTCCAGAACAGCCCTGTCTCGTCACAGTTGAAGATTTGCTGGGGGATGTATCCTTCTTCCTCAACGAATTCTGCGAAAGTTTTCACGAACTCCTCTGCTGCCTTTACATCAGCACTTGCTGCCTCACCATGCCTAACAACGGAGTGAATCCCCGTCCTTTTCTTAAAATTATCAAACCAGCCCCGACTGGCTTTAAAGGATTCCTCCTCCGTTGAAGTGCCTGGGGTTTGCTGTTGTAAATCTGAAAAAATACTGCGCGCCTTCTCGCAGATTATTCCCTCGGTGACGGTATCTCCGGCAAGTTGTTTTTCCGTCAGCCACACCAACAGCAGATTCTCCATCTTCTCATGCACATCTGTACGGCGCTTTGAAATAATCTTGATACCTTTGGCTGGCTTAATTTTCTTTAGGGACTCCTTCTGCTTTAAGATGGTGCAGATCGTTGACGTTGTACGGTCGTAGTGCTTGGCCAGTTCCTTTACTCGAATGCCTTGCTCATGCTTCTTGATGATTTCAAGCTTTATTTCGAGGGACATCATCCTCCTCTTCTCGGTACTCGCACTACCACTTGCTTTCTTTGGTGCCATGGTTACAACAAAGTTAGAAGTTGGGATTTCAATCAAGTGTAGACAGTGAGACAGAGAGAAAGGCCCGGAGATGGGATGCTGTGACTCGTACCCTCTGAGCTGCGCGCGCCTCGAAAATATACACTTAGAGCTGCGTGCGCCTCGAGCTCGTATCTTAAAATTCTGCTCGCGTGCTGAAGCAAAAAATCGTCCGAGCGACTGCTCGTATCTCGGAAAACTCGCACGTTAGTTCGCTCGTAGGTTGAGGTTCCACTGTATTTGATTTTCACCTATAAATCTACATGTAAACGACACAGTCGTGCGCTGGAGCGATTATATGGCATAAAACCAAATCCCACCAAGTGTTCACCCGTTATAAATCTGCCTTCCTAACATACACTTCCTCCCTTCACGCTGCCAAACAAGCCTACTTTGTCACTCTCATTAATACCTTCTCTCGTCCTCATCGGCTCTTCTCTACCTTTAATTCTCTACTTTCTCCGCCCACTGCCCACGAGATTGCAAACCACTTCCAAAACAAGATTGACTACACAGACACCCAACCCACTTAGCATTCCTCATACCATACCTTTCTCAACACTTTCCTCCTTTGACCTCACTACCACTGAAGAGGAGGCCTCAAGGTCTTCTCAGAAGCCCGCCTCACCACCTGCCCCCTGGACCCTGTCCCCTCACAACTCCTTCAGTCACCCTCCTCCTCCATCCTATGCTCCCTCACTCACATATTCAATCTTTCCCTCTCTACAGGTGCCTTCCCCTCCCCTCTAAAGCATGTGCACATCACTCCCATACTTAAAAAACCCTCCCTAGGCTCCACCAACCTGAACAACCTAAGACCCATCTCCCTGCTGCCATTTACCTCTAAACTCCTAGAATGCTTAGTCTACAATCGTCTGAGCTCCCACCTCACTGACAACAACCTTCTCAACCCTCTACAGTCTGGCTTTCGCCCTCTACACTCCACTGAAACTGCCCTACTAAAACTGTCTAATGACCTACTAACTGCAAAAACCAATGGCCACTATTCAATACTCCTACTACTCGACCTCTACGGTCTTTGACACAGTTGACCATCCCCTCCTCCTCCTCTCAAAAAACTACACTAGCTTGGCCTCAGAGACTCCACTCTCTCCTGGTTCTCCTATCTATCGCAGCGCTCCTTCAGTGTTACCTATAACGCTGCCACCTCCTCTTCACTCCCTCTCCCTGTAGGGGTCCCTCAAGGTTCTGTCCTTGGAATCCTTCTCTTCTCCATCTACACCTCCTCCCTTGGTCACTTGATAAACTCCCACGGCTTCAATTACCATCTCTATGCTGATGACACACAAATTTATCTGTCTACCCCTCTCCTCACCCCTTCAGTCTCCACCCGCATCACTAGCCTACTAAGTGACATACAGTATTGGCTTGGAAGTCACTCCACTTCCTCAAACTCAACCTTTCCAAAACTGAGCTCCCAGTATTCCCCCCCTGCCCGTGCCACCTCCATTGACTTCGCCATAAATATCGATAACACAATCATTAGTCCATCCCCTCATGCCAGGGTACTAGGTGTAATCCTAGACTCCCATCTGTCCTTCCAGCTCCAGATCCAATCGCTGACAAAATCATGTAGACTTCACCTCCGCAACATCCCCAAGATACGACCATTCCTAACCCCGGAAACCACTAAGCAACTTATTCACTCCCTTGTCATATCACGCCTCGAATATTGTAACTCCCTCCTCATTGGCCTACCTCATCGCAGGCTATCCCCCCTTCAGTCTATCATGACCGCTGCTGCCAGACTCATCCACCTCACTAACCGCTCTGTATCTGCCACCCCTCTATGCAAATCCCTCCACTGGCTCGCAGTTGCCCAACGGATAAAATTCAAGACACTAACTATGACATACAAAGCCATCCACAACACTGCCCCAATTTAAATATCCGATCTTATCTCTAAATATCCACCCAAACCGTACACTCCGCTCCTCGCAAGACCTCCTACTCTCTAGCTCCCTTATCTCCTCCTCCCATCCTCATCTCCAAGACTTCTCCAGGGCGTCACCCATCCTCTGGAACTCCCTACCCCAATCTATCAGACTATCACCTACTAAACTTCATTGAAAACCTATCTCTTCAGGGAAGCCTATCGCGCCCTCTGCTAATACTGGAATCCTCTACTCTTCCAACCACTCCATCCCCCACAGTTTTACCCATTGTACCACTCACCCGTCCCTTCTAGATTGTAAGCTCAAAGGAGCAAGGCCCTCAATTCCCTCTTGTATTGAACTGTATTTTTACTGTATTGTCTCCCACTATAATGTAAAGCGCTGAGCAAACCGTTGGCGCTATATAAATCCTGTATAATAATAATAATAATGTAATTTTGGTTTTGGATCATATATTATATGGATAATATTATTATCATCTGAGCACATATTGCACCTTATATATTATAGTTCACATATATTCATTTAAACATACTACATGTGTATGAGAAATGTGTTGCCATTTAAACATACTAAATATTTTTGAGTTTCTTATGTATGCAGCAGGTCACAGCACAATATAACTTTTCATTAATCTTCATGTTTAACAGTCATTCCTAGACATTCATGTTAAAAAAAAATATATAAACTAATATTTTACAAATTAAAAACTATAATTAAAATGCAGCGCTACAAAGTCACATTAATATTCAATCAATGACAGTTCCATTAAATTAGCATAAATTCCTCCTTATCATCGAACTCCATTCATAATTCTTCAGTTTGATGCATAAATTGATGTTCTTAATATCCTCCCATGTTAATCAGAAATATTCTCCAATGAAGTTCAGAAGAATTACCAGCTCACTGCAACTACAGTATATGCTGCCCTGATATAAACTGCAACATTAGTGCATCAGTCAACCATCGTAAGGTCATTCATCCTCCCCTGTGGATCCTAGGGAACTGCTCCATTCATTCCTCCTTAGAGACTTAAGGCTTGTATCAATGTGACATCAAAACAAATATAAAACTATACAGTGTAGTACTCTTAAACCTGTGCATAAGTGACACTCAGTGATGAAATCCGTGTCTAAAACACCGCCACCCACATGGAATGCGCGCTCTCCGTTAATGTGTGCTGCTCACTTATGACTTGTAAATAATATAAATATAACTTAAAAAATATAAATCCAATTAAATATAAATTAAAAATTAAAAACAAAGTCCAGGTGGGGTACATAAATCTAAAATCTGTGCTCACTGCCCGGCACCATAGAGCTCGATTGGCATTTGCCATTGAACACCAGAACTGGCAGGTCCGTCATTGGTGCCCTGTGCTTTTCACAGATGAGAGCAGGTTCACCCTGAGCACATGTGACAAACGTGAAAGGGTCTGGAGAAGCTGGGAGGATATGTAATCTACTCCAGGAACTCCAATAAACACTACTTCCAGTCTGGCACCATTTTTATGTAGATCATTTGATAGTCTATGGCAGCCATTATCCCGTGGACCTATTACTACATATGGGATCGATCTAGCAAACATATAAAAAACTTAGAAAAAAACGTAATGACTTAGGGTACAAAAAATTTAAATATCCTAATCACCTTGGGTGTAATGTAAAGTGAGATATCAAGCTGCCACATCGGAACCCGGCGTGGTGGTGAGAGATGTAAGTTTGAGGGGTTGTTTTTATGTTTACATGCTGTCGATTTTATGTGATTTCACTGTGCTGCTACTTGTTGGTTTATAATAAATACTACACTATAGGGCATTTTATTATGTCTTGTGGTGGTGTTTAACCTCCCTGGCAGTATTCCCGAGTGTAGCTCGGGGTAAAGTTTCAGTACCAAAAGCGGTAACCCCAAGCTACACTCGGGAATACCATGCAGCATTGCTCAGGGATCCCCTGCAGCACTTACCTTGTCCTGCGCTCCCGCGATGTCTCCCTTGCAGCATCCCCAGCCATCTCCTCCGGCCGATGTCGGTATTCGTCTTCCGGGTTCTGGTCCCTGCGAGCATCGGGACGTACAGGGGCCGGAACCGGCGGGAGATTTGAAAATTTTAAAATCTGACATTCACAAAATACACTAAAATAACATAGTAAAACATTGCTGTTTCAAAGCATTTCACATACATTTTGTCCCTAGTGCTTTGTCCTGTGCCCTGCCTGCATTTCTACTGTTCTTTCTGCCTGGAAACTTAGAAAAGTCCATGGCGTCCCTTTAGGTCCCTTTAGGACGCTTTTGACCTAAAGCGTCCCTTTAGGTCAAAAGCGGTTTTAGAGCAGCTAGAATACAGCGATAATAAATCAGAACAACTTGCAGAATTGAGTGATAATGATTTGTGGGGAAATTCGTCATCAGACACTGAAAACGATTCTGCGACTTTGCTCAGCGATGTACGAACTTGGCGCTATATTTCAAATTTCAGTGTTTTTGGTTTGATTATATTATTGAATTAAATTTATTATTATATTATTATTTTTTATGATTATTTATTATATTATAATTTATGATTTCGTGTTTCAAGTTTTATTATACCCGGGATGTTTACTAGACTTTGGACAGATTTCAGTGAGTTATTCCTAAAAATTACAGGCCTACAATAAAAAAACAACATATTTCCATGCAAAAAAAATTTACTGCTTTCAGCACAGAAATATGGACATAATCATACCTCTACGGAGGTTAACTATGAGTGGAACAGTGCCCCCTGTGGATATGTTGGAAGAGAAGAGTACTGTGTTTTTCACTCCATAAGGCACACTTTTTTCCCCAAAAAAATGGGGGGAAATGTCTGTGCGTCTTATGGAGCGAATATGGAGGGGTCGGTCCAGTATTCCCCCCGTCACCACCGCTGTGTTAGAATAACGGGCCGGCCGCTCGGCTCTTCTGTGCAGCAGAACCTGTAGACCTCCAGTGGTCCTACCTGTTCCTCGCTCCAGCGCTGTCCTCACCGTCTTCTCTCCCCGGTGCCGGTATCTTTAGTGTGGGCACCCGGCTGTGACAGCTTGCAGCTTCACGGCCGGGTGCCCACTGCACATGTGCGAGAAGCGCTGCATTTTGTGAATGGCCAGAAGACTACGAGGAAGGAGGGAGGGGGAAGGACAACTCCGTGGAAGTGGGTACCTGTCAAATTCGGGTACCTGCCCCCCCCCTCCACTCCCTAAATGTCTGCAGTCTCTGGTTATCTGTACTATGTCCGCAGTCTCTTGTCATCTCCTGTACTATGTCCACAGTCCCTGGTCATCTCCTGTACTTTGTCTGCAGTCTCTGGTCATCTCCTGTACTATGTCGGCAGTCCCTGGTCATCTCCTGTAATATGTCCGCAGTCTCTGGTCATTTCCTGTAATATGTCCACAGTCTCTGGTCATCTCCTGTAGTACATCAGCAGTCTCTGGTCATTTCCTGTACTACAGCTCTCATTGTTTGAACACTGTTTGTGTGGAGTAAATTAAATGTTCTGGACTGATATTCTGCGGATTAGCAACAAGATGCCACTGTTTTTCATAACAGAGCCTCAGACTGCATAGATATTTCTATATTCATGAAGAGGTGGGGTTTTCACTCAGAGTTTAGAGAACAGGAAGAAGAGAGAGAGAGGAGCCATGTTTTGGAGGATGGTGAATGAAGGAGCCGGGTGAGCAGAGAAGCTGATGGCATCCGGGTGTGAGAGCATCCCTCAGTAACCAGAGCTGCAGCTAAGTGAAGCTGATCGTGTTCCAAGACTCTGATCCTATTCAGAGAAAGGAAGATTGCTGCCAGGAATGCTGATGAGAGCAGAGGAACAAAGCAACATACACTGCGATACCGCATGCTTGTTGGAGAGACATTTGTTCTGTTCAGAGTCACCAGCGGATGCAAAGCAGACCCAGGTCGGTAAGATTGTGCACGCACCTCATTTCAGTGTTGGCGCCTAGAGACTGAGACCAGGCCTGTAGTTAGTTAGGGTCTCTGTTTGTGTCAGGCCACAAGTGTTATTACTGATCATTGGAAGGACTTCATAACTTAAAGCAACATTTCACATTGGAGAGCTGATAAAATCCCACAAACTCAAGCCAGACTGGTGTTTTGCTCAGAAGGAATACTCAGGCACGTGCTACAGGACCAGTTATGGGAGGGGGAATACTGTAGATTTGTGTAAGATTGTAAGCAGTTGTGCTGCATCGCAGGCTAGCCGATACCATACACCCATACACTGATTCCTGCTCTTTTAGGTTAATAACGGGTAAGGTGTGGCAGCTTAGTTGTGCCCGCCAGTAGGTAAATTACTACACTTTCTACCTTCATCCATCAGAAGGCGCTGTGCTGTGCAGCACAAGGGTCTCAGCCTTTGGGCTGGGTGTATGTAAATTTATTGTATGTTCTCAGCATTTGTGGTTGTGTTTATTTGCCAGATCTAAGTAAAATTCTGTTGTGGCAAAAGCTGGTGTTGGGGTTGCTTTCCTCGTCCGTGACTTCACTGTATCCTGGGGAGCCCACCCCGGTACACGGCTTAAAGCAGTCCATTGGTTCAGAATATTTTTTTTCTTGTTTTCCTCTTCTAAAACCTAGGTGTGCCTTATGGTCAGGTGCATCTTATGGATTGAAAAATACGGTAAATCTGGTGGAGGAGAAAAAAGCCTACAATTCATTTGCTTTGATAGGCTGTCTGCTGCATATCTTATAAGCAGCACACATTAGCGAAGAGCGTGCAATCTATGTGGGTTTTAAACATGGATTTCATCACTGAGCATCACTTATGCACAGATGTTTAAGTTAGTTCATTTTGTTTTATAGTACTACACTATATAATTTTATATTTGTTTTGATGTCACATTGATACAAGCCTTAAGTCACTAAGGAGGAATGAATTGAGCAGTTCCCCAGGGTCCATAGGAGAGGATGAATGTCCTTACAATGATTGTCTAATGCATTCATACTGCACTTTATATCAGGGCAACATATATTTGTGGTGTGCTGGCAATTCTTCTGAATTTCATTGGAGGATATTTCTAATTTACATTGGAGGATATTAAAATGTCAATTTATGCATCAAACGGAAGAATTATGAATGGAGTTTGATGATAAGGAGGAATTTATGCTAATTTAATGGAACTGTCATTCACCGAATATTAATGTGACTTTATAGCGCTGCATTTAATTTATAGTTCACGGGAAGGGTGGTGTATATTTACCTGTAGTGCATGCAACTAATTTGTATTATTTTTGTTTGAAGGGAGCGCTCACTTTTTCTCCAAAAATATTTTATTAAAGAATAAGGCATAGCAAAGCAAATACAACTACGGATCGCAGTCCGAGAATAGACACATAAACGGCGTCCCATATCGCAGATGGGTCAGACATGTAGATTACGATGCAATCATAGCGTAACAATGCAGTAAGACAGGTGTATATTACATATCTGCAGATATGAAGAGTTTACTAGACGAGGTAATGTAGATAGTAAACGGAACTGACCCATGTAATAATGAGCTTTTATGATGAGGGGGTACGAAGTGTCGAGTAAGGGTAGCTTTGAAGAGGTTGCGTGTTCTGTGTTGTGTATCCAGATTAGAAAATCTGTGTTACCTAGAAGTATTTGCGTCTGTAAAGAAGTAACTGCTATATTCTGTTGAGGAAATGTGGATGATGTGAGTATTTACTAAAGGAAGAATAAAGATAAGCCTGATAAAATAGAACAGGTAGAGAAAGGAATGTGAAGTGGTGTAATTGGAGGGGGGGGGGGGTGGAGGGGAGAAAAAAAAAATAATATAAATGATTCCTTTACTTCTCCCTCCTCCCCTTTCCCCTACCCCCTCCCTTACCCAAATATGAATTTGGGGGAAGGAGAAGAAGCAATGGAAGGACAGATAAGTGCGGTTAAATGGATCATATTCTTATGTAGGAGTAAGATATGGGTCAAAAACTCAGACGACTGTTATGCAACTAGTTTCAACCCATCTAATTGTAAATCTAAAATCTCCTTAATGAACTGGGCATTCTCTGAAACATCATTATGTATAGCCATTCAGTCTGGGGGTCTAGATTGGTCATTTAGTGTTGTGTGGTAGGTAGTGGTGGTTTTGAAGTGACTCCAACATCCCTATGTTTTCCTGAATCTCTCGGGGCGTTCCTGCGCCACAGAAATCAGTTCCTCTATTTCCTCAATTTTGTTGATCCTGGTAAACCATTCTCGAATAGTAGGGACATCTGTGGAGCGCCAATGTACTGGGATACACTGTTTTGCTGCGTTTACCATATACAGGGCCAACGATTTACGGTACTTCTTAAAAGGGAGTGAGGAGTGGTGGAGCAAGAATTGTGTGGGAGAGAGGTCTAGAGCGTACGTAGTCACTTGCGTGATTATGGTTTGAACTTTTCTCTAGAAGGGTTGTAGCAAAGAGCAGTCCCACCAAAACATGTAAGAGTGTCCCTATCTCCTGGTGACATCTCCAACACAAATCCGAGACATTAGGATCGAATTTGTGAAGCAGGGAAGGTACTCTGTACCATCTGGAGTACAGTTTAAAGTTGTTTTCCTGTGTGGAGACGCAGATGGAACCTTTGTGTATATGTTCATAAATGTGATCCCAGTCTTCAAGTGATAGTTGGAGTTGCAGGTCGAAGCTCCAGGCCCTGCAAGCTTTCCAGGACTGGAGATCAATCGTGTTTTCGAGGCATGTGTATAGCTGGGATACAACATGCCTCTGGGGAGAATCTGTAACGCATAGTTTTTCAAATGGGGTAAGTGGTCAGGTGTAGTCTTTTAGGTGTGACGAGCTATGTATGTAAGTGGTGGAGTTGTCTGTACATCCACGGCGTCAGGGTCAGAGATGGCCATTTGTTTAGAATGAGGTCTCTGGAGAAGAGTGTCTTATCTTTAAAAAAGGTGATGTACCCTCAAATTGTCTGTGGAGCTATATCCGGCTTGGAAGGGACTCGACATACCCGGTGGAAAGTCTGGGTTCATTTTAATCGGAGTGAGTGGGCCAGGGGTGGAAGAGAAACCATTTGTCCGAGTCATCTGATAGTAACATGATAGAGTTGGGCCTATGAGAAGATGTGCCCTGAACTCAGGTGGGGTGTGGGTGTTTTTCAGCCAAGGAGCGGCTGCTAGCGGGATCACTGAAAAGGTCGCTTCTAAGGTAACCCAAGCCTTACGGTTGCCATTTGTCGACCAATCAACTATTCTTGCCAAGTGACAAGCTTTGTAGTATCGTGTGATGTCAGGTAGTCCAATACCTCCGCTCTTCTTAGGCATAGTGAGTTGGTCGAAACTAATTCTGGGGCGTTTAGTACCCCATAGAAATGAGGTACACAGTGTTTTGTAAGACTTTAAAAAGGAATTGGGTAATTTAATTGGGATCATTTGCAGTAGGTATAGTAGTC